TATAAAATATTTTATAACAAAAATTATTAATTTAATATAGATTCGACCTTAATTTATAAAAAAAAAGTTTAATAGACATCATAATTTACTGCATATATTCAATGCGTAATATGGCCGGTTCTTTCAATTTAAATGTGGGTTAATTTGATATACCCGGAAAGGGGTGAGGCCTCACGTTTGTGGATGATCTCCTTAGTTTATCTCACCTCTGTCAAGCCTTGTCGTGTTTGTCTTTCTTCGGCAAATATATTTTATTGAGTTGGCCATTCAGTTTCAATACAGCTTTAGTAAAAATAATGGCCAATTAATAACGTTAAATGAATTAAGCACTAGCTTAAGACTTACGAGGCCTTCAAATAGTAATAATTTTACAATAAATCGTGTTTATAATTTTATAAATTTAACATTTAAAGTGCCCGAAACTAATTACTTAGATCTTTCGCCTGTATTAATTTTCTATTGGATGATAGGTATTTTATACGAATGGTAATTGGTTATTGTACTATAAACTTTCATTTAATCTCGTAATTAGTTTTAGTGGGTTATTATCTTACGGAAAAAAGGGCAATTGCTTAGGGCCATCATTAATAGAGGGCCCCAAACCGATCTTTTACAAGAAAATATTATTTTTACTCAAAAATTCCTCCGAAGAACAATATCGGAAGTCAACACTATATACATAGGGTCCCACGAAGGTATAACGCGCTACTGCATGAAATAAAGATTCCAGACTTGAAGCGTGTTTAGAGGCCCTACACTAGGATGAAATTCTTTGATACGCCTCACGAGAATACCTATAAGTATAAAAGAATCCCCTCTAAATTACCATTTCTTAATAGTAAAATGGGTATTCAAAGCCTTATATCTTGTAACTAGACTAATTAATGATGATAAAATTTGTAACATAATTAGTTAACTTTAGAGTAATTAAGATTAGATGTAAACTTAGCAAATTACTCTAGAGTTTCCCTATATTTATTCAGTTAAATCAACCGAAACTTTAGATTTTCAAGCGACGGTCTGTTGATTTTTTCACCATATTTACCTATCTTTAACCTTCTATTCTTGGTATCTTGTAAATGGTTTCTATTCTAAACAATGTAAACTATTTTGCGCCAAAGGCGAATCATTGTTAACGCTAGACTAAAGATTCTTCCAGATAAATCCATCAATCAAAAACAAATATTAAAAATACACATATTCTTTTTTTAGATATTCTATAATAAATTGTGTACAGACACGCAGTTTCTATATAAAGTACCACTCGAATAAAGCAATATTTACTAATAGGTGAGTTTAGTGAATGCACCAGTGCAAGTACCGAACGTTTAGTGGCTTCGGTACAGCGTTCAGAATGACAATAAGTTGATTCCAGTGCCAGAATTACCCTCAGTTTTACATCGGTGAGACAATATGGCTGAGTTCCTCCCCACAAAATTATTAAAAACTTTGAATAGATAAATAAATATCACATTGTTATATTGAGGTTTGCCCCTGTACATCATACTTTTCCTGTTAACAATAGAGTCGTGCCGGTCGTCTATCTAACATCTTACAGGGGAAAATGTTTGAATCGAAATAACGTGACTTCCAATCGAAACTGGATGTTATTATATAGTTAATCGGGGCCTCCTACCATTAAGGTTTCCATATTTAGTTTCGTCTTTCATCTATCTAACTCTATTCTCCAGATTAAAGAAGGACAGACAGTAAGTAGTTTTTTTAAAATGGCAGCTTAATAAGAGTAGTAATTCATCTGTATCGATTTTAAACTTAAATTTTAACTCAAAAGGAGTTAAAAATTACAATTTTAGGAAGAAAATTGAACGTTTTTTATGTCCAAAAACTGATTTTCAAAGTTAAAAATTGGGGTTTTTTTTAATAATATTTTTTTATTTGAAGAAAATAATTTGGATTCTGAAGCAATTTATCCTTTCCCATATTTTTTTTGGAAGGAGATATTTAATATATTTGGAGTAAATTTTGTCAGAAGTTCAATTTCAATGGAAGTGGTATTATTTATTTTATTTGTTTATTTGATTCTTTTCGAATGAAGCAGAACAGAAGACGAGTAACCACCCCTTGTGACGTAGTTCCAGGTCGGTGGCTGTTCACATCAAACGCTTGAGAAACACGGAAGTGAAGTTTATTCTTGCCTTTGGGTAACGATCAAGGTCGATAGAAGGAAAGACGTGGCCTCACAATATCATTCAATGCTATAAGAGGTATGTGTTATACGTTTCTCTGTCTCTCCTTTATGTAATTCAATTGATAACAAATTCTTTTAAAAACTTTTTCGAGTGATGATCTTCCTTTATAACAAATTCGAAACTTATAAAGTTAAAATTGGATATTATATACAAGCTTTTAGCTTTTTATCCTTATGTAAACGTAAGGATAAAACCTCATAAAATTATGATGCATCTTTTATATAAGGATAACGTGCCATTAACTCTTAAATTTATATAAATATAATAGTATTTTTCCATTAAAAAAAATCCTTAAAAATTCTCCTTTTATGGACAATTTTCAGCATAAAAGATGGGGTTTGATCTAGGATTTAGTAACATGTCTCGCCAAGCAATGGAGATGGAGATGTGGGAGTTATATAACACTTACAGGCATCAAATATGGTTGGCCTGCCCGCTTATACCTATTGTGGTAAAATATATTTAATTAATTTAGTATTATATAGTTAATTAATTCTAAAAAAATTGCTTAATTATTACAATTAATTATAGATGCTCTTCGTCTTGCCTGGTGTGTTGTTAGCCATGATATATATATCGTCGTTATTCCTTCAAATATATCGTCGATATTACATCGAAGAATGTCAGAAAGAACCAAAATATTGGAACAAGGCCCGTTATATGTTATCTTTATTATGGGATGCTTATGGATGGATTTATTATGGTAATGTATTATTAATTTCTACTTCTAAAGCCTTAATTCTGTTTGATTAGCTTTTATAAGTTTAAAAATATAGATTTTATTGTATTTAAATGAAGTTATTTTAGTAAATAGGCCAGTTTAAAGTCATTTGGAAAAAATGTTGCGCTCTTGAATCTTCCGTTTAAACTGATAAACATCGCTTCACTGTGGAATTAGTGTCAACATTTCGGTCGGAAAAAGGGAAAAAACACGTTAAAATCGTATAAAAATTTATGTTTTTTTTTGTTCTATATTCATCTAAATATGTCACTTAATATATTATAGATCTATATAAATGATATATAAATATAGAACTCGGATGTATGTACTTTATTCGTAGGGCATAAACTTATGAATATTTCTATAATGGCGCAAAATATATACTTAATTTATCATTTTCCCTATTTTATGCTAATTATAGAATAATTATATCATCGTATTTTAACCCGGATAGAAGCTTTAAAAAGAATAAAAGCTTTGATTTCCTCTATATTTTATAACGAAGAATAAATAAATAAATAAGAATTTTACCAAAAATATTGATTCATTTTATCAAAAATACTTCATAATTTCGTTAGAATAATACATTTTTAATGCTAAGATAGTTGAAGAATAATGAATAATACAGTTATATTACAGTACAATGCGAAACATGAATTGATAAAGAATACAGGACAAGTAAACTAGGCCATGTGTAAAATGATGTTTCTTACACGTGTTTGAGGTCAATTATAAAGTATATTTTTTTGTAATAAAAACCTTTATAAATATATATTTTTAAATATAATATACAAATACTTGTTGCGCCTTTGTTAATAGGAGAATATCATGAGACGAAGTAAATTGTCATCAAGCATGGCTTCCACTTTCCCAAATCATAAGAACGGTTGTATATTATTAATTAATTAAAAAAAACACACAGTTTTGATGAATTTAATTAAAGGCACGAGTTTATAAATTGAATATCTCGTTAATTATTTCATTAAAGTGAAATAATGTACATAAATCGATAGATTTTTCCTTTGTAAGCGTAACGATGATGGAGATTCTTTAATGGTTTCTTTTCAGGTTACGAAATAGAAGGTCTGGAAAATATACCCGATAAAGGACCAGCAGTGATTATATTTTATCACGGAGCCTTACCTATGGATTGGTATTTTATGATTTGTAGATGCTTACTAATTAAAAAAAGGATGATGGTATCAGTAGCTGATAGGATCCTCTTTAAAGTTCCAGGTTAGATTTCACCGTGAAATCTTTTTTTAATTAACTCTACAACGATTGCGTGTACGTAAATATATCAATTTTTAATTAATTTATTAAATCTAGGATGGGGTTTATTATTAGAAACATCGAGAGTAATTCCAGGAACATCAGAGGATTGCGTGAATGTACTAAAAAATGGAGATCTTTTATGTCTTTCACCTGGAGGATTGAGAGAAGCTCAATTTGGCAGTGAAAATTATAAACTGATGTGGGGTAATCGTTGCGGTTTCGCACGAGTTGCATTAGAAGCTAAAGTGGTGAGGAAAATAATAAAAATATTAATGAAAATCATTGTTACAACAATATCACATTACATTTCTCTTTTCCTCCTCAACAGCCAGTTATTCCAGTCTTCACTAGAAACATCAGAGAAACCTTTTCTACATTAAAAATATTGAAAAGTATACTTAATTTTTTAAAAAAATCTGCAACATATTATATATATATTTTTAATATTTTATTTTATTTTAGAGTGGCAGAGACGAGTATACGAAGAATCTCGCTATCCAACTGCACCTCTCTACGGAGGTTTTCCTGTTAAATTGAAGTATATATAGATAAATAATAGATAATTTATATTTATATATTGTTATATATATGAAGTAGACATTAAATAAATCTACGCAAATACAATCCTCATAATTTATTATCTAAAAAAAAAGGGGGTCATAGACATGTTCTATATATAAACACAACAGTACAGTTCAGAAGTTCATCGATATTTTCAATGTGTATAGTTAATTTTCTGGTCTGGATATTGTTCTAATTTTAAAAGAAAAAAAGAAATTTTATCTCTCTTTTTTTAATATTTATAATATAAGTCAGTTAACTGAGATGTAGTCACGTTAGCTAATTCGGTTAATCGACTTATGAACCACCCTTTTTTATATATGATTAAATATATTAATTAAAATTATTATTTTTTAAGGACTTATATAGGACAACCCATACCTTATGATCCAAGTATATCTGCTGAGGAGTTAACAATAAAAGTGAGCTTTATTTATTTATTTTTTTAATAATTTTTTAAACATTTTTTAAAGAGTTTTAACGTGTGAACAAATGCATTTTTAGGCCAAAGAATCAATGGAAAGAATGATATTAACGCATCAAAGATTACCAGGAAGTATTTTTCACGCTCTTCTCGAGAGAATTAAAGATTTTGCTAAATATAAATATATATAAAAATAGTTTTATATAATGCTTCTAAGTAAAAAAAAACAAAAAAATGAATTGTTCTAGTGTTATATTAATAGAAAAAAATAAGAACATTACAAAGAAATTCGTTCAATTAAGAACTAAAGTGAGTAATTTTCCAATTAGTTTCCTCGTGATTTAAGTTTCCTCTTTCGGAAAATTGCATCCAAAAATTTCTCTTCACAGTGTGATATGTAAAATTTATTATTATTATTATTATTCTCTTGTATGGTTTATAAATGTAGAAATTTATGTACACTTTGAAATATACATTTTTCAATAAATTTTAATGATATTTTTTCCCTTTTTTAAAAAAAAATGAACTCGTGTCTTTTATCTTCCCCATATTCTTTTTATAATTTATGAAATTTAATTCGAATAAAATTAATTTATTTTCTAATTTTAAAAATCGATAATTTTGCATCGTTCGGTGGTGTCATCTGGTGGTGAAATTCGTTACGAATTCCGATTTATTAAAAAAAAATAATAATAATAATAAAATAAGCGATTTCTTGGGCCTGTTTCTTAATATTTCATTGGTTGTATGGAGTTATAATGTATAAATATTCGTTACTCCATGAATAAGTTAATATTTTAACTGATAAACCGGTGAGAAAATTAGTTAAATAGCTAACAATTGTTAAAAAGATTAGTCATTATTAGATGATATTTATAGAATTTAATGTAAATTAATTGATTAATTAGCATTGAATGATGATAAATGAATATTTTGTTAGAGATTTACAAGAATTTACTCGCAGAATTTCGAGAATTAATGGCATTTTTCTGTTTCGCTAGGCCCTAGACGAGATTGAAGTCTCTTTTATGTAACGTTTCTAGGATCCTAGATACGGGAGTATTGACGTGTCTGAGGCCTCTAGATGAATGAGGCCCTAGGATGCCACTTAAAAATTTAACAGGTATTGAGATCTAAGACCCTAGGAACACTGAATTCCAAGTACAAGACTAAAGACCTAATGTCGATTCGTATTATATCTAAGGCCCATAAAATTATGAGGCTCAAAGTATAAAATCCTTGATTATTCACGCTTAAAACCGTCAAAAAGGATCCAACAATCCACATTAATTATCCACGAAAGACGATTAAATGACAAACAAATAACTATGCTCATCCATTGAGATTTATTTTACAGTATATTTATATTCTTATTCTACACAACTGTTTCTTTTTTTTAAAAGTATTTTCAGTTAATTTAAGTGGATCAAATGCCGAATAACAAAGAAAATTTATATTATTGTTTATTATTATTATCATTATCATCATCATCATCTTTTCTTAAATTTATTTATACCCAGAACAACTTGATGTATTAATAACTCTTTTAACACGTCATCGAATAAAATACCAACTTAACATTCAACATTTCACATAAACACTTTGTTTTTTTTTTGTTTTTTTTTCTCGTCATAACATAAATCCTATAAGAAAAAATCTACATCTTTCAAACAATTATACACAACATGAGTATGGGAATTTCTCTTTTTTTTTTCTTTAATTAATATATTATAATATCTTCAACGATGGATGAATGAACAATAAATATATATATATATTATATATATATATGAATAGTCAACTTAAATATTTACAGTTCCGTATGTATTGCTGTTAGAGAAAGGGGATTTACATACATTGTAGGGTGATAAAACCAAAAAAAAAAAANTAGCAAAAAAAAAAAAAAACAAATCAAACTCTTGTGAGGTAGGTCCGAAGAATCTTTCCAATGTTGAGCCTAAATATATATATATATATTTTTTTGATATGCTTTACTATAATTTATTGTTATCTATACGGGTGTGATAGCTTTTTTTTTTAATGATCAAAGACTATATTATTCTTCTATGTTGCTTCTAGTGCTTTTGGTTAAGGTGTTTGCTGCTGCTGTCAGTATTAATCTTTGAGGCTCCTTTCCTTCTTGATGAATTATTTGATTACATAAATGAAATTCTGTTCGGATATGTTTTTGATATATCACGATAATTTAATTAGATATGCTTCCATTCTTTACAGGGGAGTTGGTTAGAATTTCCTTCTTCTGTATCGTGACTATATCTTATTAGTTGAAGCTATGTTTGAATTTATTTTTCTTTAAAAAAAAAGATCTTAATTATTTTTATTTTGATTAAATTCCTCTTCTTCTTCTTCTTCTTCTTCTTCTTCTTTTTACAGAACTGTAATAAGATTATACGTTTGTAAAGATATACAAATAATTTAATTAGACATCTTTAAGTCTTGCAGAATTGATGTTTACAACGTAACTTTAGGGGGGTTATATCTGCTGTATATATATATGATTGTCCAGAATTTTATGTGTGATGTGGCACACTAAATAGAGAATAAAATATATTAAAAAATAATTAAATTGAAAGAACTTTTAAACATTTTACACAACTCGTTAATCGTTGGCACCCTAATAATGTCCTTAGAAAATAACATCTAATTTGATATAATCTAAAGATAAAAATAATTTACACACGTCACTAATATACATACTGTTTGTTGATTTTTTCTTCTTCTATATACAATAATACACATATAAATTTCTTATCCATATTATTATTATTATTATTATTATTATTATTTTCTTTAATTATTTAAACCTTACAACTTCACTGAAGCGAAACAAACGTGAACTCCGCCATCTTGAAATTGAAACAAACTTTAATTATTTTCAGTGTTTTCTTTTTTCCAATATGGAAAAATAACAATTGGAATATCTTTAAAACTATTATAACAATGAGACTAAACTGTTAAGAAACTTTAAACAATAAAATAATTATTTATTTTATATATTTTTTTTTTTCAAGCACCAATTGAAATCTTCAGTCACCTTTCATTAGGAGTTATAACCTCTTATGTGTGTATATATATATATAAATAATAGTCTCTATAGGATATTTAAATATTCAAAACGTGAAACAATTAAATTCTTCAACTGAAACGTTTCGATTTTTCATATATATATACCCTTATTATCCGGACTTTCTAAAAGAGGAAAGAAAGAATATGACGTGTTAAATATATCTTACGCATGTATATGTATATATATATACATTATGTCGAAGGTATATATCATACACATGCATACACGAATACGTTTATATATATATATATATATTCTGAAAAGTTCGTAGTAAGGCATGAACGATTTTATTTTATTTTTTTTCACATTTTGGGCCTTTGAAGTGGGGTTCGGTGGGTGGTGTCGGTCGATCACTCTTCGGGCCATCCGAAATCTTGCCCCGAATCACGATAGAACTCTCGATTAAACGGAGCATAAAACTTTCTTAATTTATGTATGACCTCTTCGGAAACTGGGGGATGTTTACGACCTTTACTTTCGTTTAGACACTTCTCAGCTGTATCATTTCGGACGCAATAGAAACCCTTTGTTTTATTGTAGAAGAAATTATCCTTGCTTATCCTGTGACTTATACCGAGGAATTTCTCAATTTTCAATACTTCTAAGAATGGATTTTTAATTAATTGTTCACCGTCGACTACGTGGATCTGTTCTCTAGGGAAGGCCCTCGTCCATTTTTTGAAGTACTGCGAATACATACTAATCCTCACAGCTTTATATCCACTGTTTATGGTGCCGTCGGGGTTCAGTACGATGTCCTCGAAGGATGCAACTAGCTTGTCCTTTCTCGCCTTGTTTGCCGCTAATTGAGCGTAATCTGAAACTAGGCGAGTCACTGGATCCCGTACGATTAACAGTAACTTGATGGTATCGTTCATGGATCTGATCCTGGCTGGTGCCGAATCGGTTATAAAGTACGCTGGACTTTTCTCGATGGTTATTTGATTAGGAAAAGAATATGGCATCCGCCTACGATACCATTCCAATCCTAAATGATAACGGCTATCGTCGTCAAAGAAATGTACTTCGTCCGATGCCTTCTGTATGGATGGATGAAGATTAAGAAACTCCAACAGTGCTCGTGTGCCACACTTACGTACTCCTATGATGACGCATTGTGGCAAACGTCGTTTGGTTCTGGGGAATCGGACCCTTTCTTTCAATATCTCTAGATCGACTTCTGCACTTGGATTGTAAGATCCTAGACAGATGACTGGGGTGGGCGATAAGTAACCCAAATATGCCAATCTCAATGCTATGCAGAGGGACGTAAAGAACACAAGGAAGCACAACCCGTACAATTTCCCTTTTGTTAAATAACGTGGCCTTAGGGGATAAAGACCTGATTCTAGTGTCGGATGGTACCAAGAATGAGATCGGAATGTCCACTTGGAATGGGACACCTCCTTAGAGTTTGTCATGCTGTATTCAACCCATCTGAAAAAAAGATTAAAATCTTATTCTTTATATCGATATATAGGGCTATACATCCTTTATTTAGCTATATAATAAATAAATAATCATCAATCTAATTTTAATAATATTTTTCCTTAAATTCCAGACAATGGTTAAGAGTATCTCTCTCTCTTTCTCGTCTCTTCTCTTCTTCTTTCTCCAATAATTTAAATAAAAATTTTATTTTTATATAGTTTATTAAGTCTATTATCTGTTTTTAATCTATATTTACAGTATTTTAGCTATTTTAATTATATATTAAGTTAACACGAGAAGCATATCGCTTGGGTTATTCAGTGCTTAAGAAGATGAGTTCTAGCTCTTCTAAAGTTATCATTTAAAAGATTCGAGGTCTTTAAACTAGATAAAAATCATAAAAAAATGTTTAAAAATAAATTATTTTCTAAATTTTATCGTTAGTTCTTTATTAAAAATTAAATAATCACTCTTAATCAAAGCTCACATCCCAACAAATTAGTATACAAATATACTGACTCCCCTCGAGTATAGGAGCAACTTTACTTTAAAATAATCATAAAAAAACATAAGACAATTTAATAAAATAAGCTAATAATTTATTTATTTAAAGAACCAATTGGATAAAAATTCCCATTTAAAACTATTATCAGAAATCTTTTTTTCGTTAGAATAAACAAGCCATTATGATGCCAACACATAATGAAGGGGATGGATATGAGTTCTAAAGCGCGATTCAAATCTAACTTTTAACATTTACATTGTTTACAAGGAAAATGACCGTTTAGATGCTTATGAGTCTAGTAACGTCCACTGTTGACTTTTAAGTGATTATGAGAACAGAGATTTTTGACAAGCAGTGACTGCCTGCTAACTAATCTAATTAGCTTTGGCCACATGGTATATGTCATTTTGTAGTCTCTTCCTTCCTCTCCCTCTTCTCTCTCTCTCTCTCTCTCTACATAAATGCAACTAAACAGAATTATACACATTTTATTTTATTACCACATTATCTACAACTTTAATTCCGAAGGCACTTTATTGCTCCGATTCACAAAACTGATTCATTTATGTTATGATTTTCTCTTTCTCATTTATTGAATTAAAAAACAAAAAGAGCAGGCAACATTGTTCTTTGTTTTCATTCCTAATAATTGCTACCATTATGTCTTCAGTTTGGTTGGCGGGATGTTGGGGGGCGTAACTCCCGAAGCGATGGTCCGATTTTCTTGAAAATTTCTACAAATATTCATCCCTAATACACTTATCTTCGTGCAAAATTTCAGAATTTTTTAACAGAAAGAACGGGAGTTATTAAGCTTCAAATTGGATAAACAAAATAGGCCCTCTCAACACACACACAAGCTAACATCCATACATACAGTGGCCCTTTATCCTATTGGCAATTTCCTGAAACCATCCCCAAAGTTTTATAAGAAAATATTTCTGTCAAAGAAAAATATCAACACTTATATACACGGGGCCCTTTAATTCAAATTCGCCTGGGGCCTCGAGAAGATATAACCCTCCACTGCATACATATAGGAAAAAGTCCCAAACTTTTTGAATTTCTGGACATTTCGAGACCCCCGAATCCAAAAAAATGTAAAAGTCTTTAAAGGGGAGGCATAATAATAATAAAATTTATGCCTTAGTTAATAATAATTATCACGAATAAAAGTATTGTTTCATTTAAAATTAATTTAAGTTTTGAAATTTATTAAAGTTTTATATATTCATTCATTCATTTTTCATGAATAAATTAAATTATAAGGAGTTAAATTTGCTTGAGGATAAGTAAAATGTATATTATAAATTTATTTAAGTTAATTATTTTGAACTTAAATAAGCTCTAGAATTAAAATTTAGGTTACAAATAAATTCTTAAATTATATTTCATTTTATTATTATTTTTTTAAGATCTAAACTCATATAAATTCATTAAAATTACGTGTTAGAAAAGATCAAATAAAATGGCTCTTAAATTATTATTATTATTACTTTTTTCTTATTAATCTTTGGATTATCTTCGAAATAATTTGTGTTTTCTATAATTACATTTTTTAAAAATTTATGAATTTATATTTTAGGAACTTCTTAAGGGCCTTTTAGGCTTTTATAACGGCCTCTTCTGCCTTAGAAATAAGGCAGAAATAAGGCAGAAGAGGCCCTTAAAATACACAAAACGTTTCTTTATTAGTAAATAGTAATATTAAAAGTTTTATTTATTATTTTAAAGCAAAAATAGTGCAAATTTATAGGGATAAAAAACTACTAAAGGCCTTAAGTTTTCTCCTCACTCGGGGAAAAATCCACAGCTTCCCCCTCTCGACATCGTGTGATAGAGTGTATCAATACCTTTTTTAGTATATTTTATTTGAATAAATCTAAATACTTTCAAAGCTACAACATAAGAGACCCTTTTCCCTTTACTAAACAGTAGTAAATTTAAAAGCGTGAAGCCCTAAGCTAATGTATGAGGCCCTACTTGTCTACAAAGTAATGATATATTTAAAAGCATTATATCACGAGCTATAAGAGAGGCTTTCCCCCCTTCCACTAGCAGTAATAAATTTAAAAGTACGACACCCTCTCTTACAATATGTGAGGCCCTCCCCTTCTAATACTCATTGTCCTAAACTGCGTTAAGCAAGTTACGAAGGCCCTACACGTGTACGAATAAAATACTGTATAATTTTTAAGTTAATAACGCTTTATAAACTAATTTAAATAGTAATTTTAATACGAATTTTAAGCAGAAAAGTTGAAGAAAACGAGAGGAAAAGAGACGATTTAAGTAAGGGGTAGTCGGAATTTTTGTTTAAAAATGAATAATAATATTTAATTTTTATTATATAAAATGGATTTAGAATAATTATCAAAATATTTTCGAATATTTTAAATAATAAGTCGACAATTGGGTGTGGTTAGAAATTCAAAATTCACCTGCGAAACGATGAGAAAAATTCATGTAACGTAATCACGAACGTTGTACTTTAGAATTATAAGATTTCGTAAAGGGAAATAATTAAAGGGTTTTCACACAGGAATTTATTTAAAAGTTATACCAGATTTAAATAATTAAGTAGAATATATTCTAAAATATCCTTTAAACTATTGTACTTTTCTCTTATCAGTTAAAAGCAAGTGACTCGACTGAATTTATAAACAGGAGGGATGCTTCTAATACTTTACAGTTGTCTCAATAATCGATTGCATATCGCATCTTGCATACGTAAACGTTAAAATTTCCTATTTCGAATTCATTAAGTATACTCTTCTGTATATCCTGTTGAACAAAAGGATCTAAAACTTCCAAAAATCTCGGTCCTATCTCGTGTAAAAGCACACACATACATACACATATACAACGTAATAGCTAAGTAACTACACAAATCATAACCCCCACTTCTTTAACACAATATATATATGAAATTCTTAAAGTTTTGTATATATTTTAAGTAAATTTTGAGTATTTTAAATGTATTTTCTAATTAAATTCTTTATTTATTTATGTCAACGTGTTTAAGTTTTATTCATTCTATGCTGGATTATCAGGCATAAAAATTGTTTTATCAAGAAAATAAACTATAAATTGTGTCTAATTTGATAAATTAATTATAATTAGGAGCGGAGACGGATTTGTATGTTACATAACGATCATCTTAGGGCCTCGTGTTATGACACTATAGCTTAGGGTACTGGCGTTTTTTACGTGTATTATAGAGGTAAGGCCTTTTGTGTGTTACGACTTAAGGGTCACAAGTCTTGATTTTTTATGTAAATTATGTACAAAATCTAGGCCCGTGTAAGCAGAATCAGGTAAAATGAAGGGCCATTTAGTCTTCTGGTCTATTCCAAAGACTTAATTTTGAGGCCCTTCTGTATCGGGGCCCAAAAATTTAATCTTGTATACAAAAAAAGACTAACTCGAAAGCCACTGAAATAAACTTATTAGAGATACGAGCCTTTTTTCGGGCCCTAATCACACTAAAAATTCGTTATAAATAAATTATAATTAAATAAAAGCAGTTTTAAATTTAAAAGTATTTGAAGAATGTTTACGATGCGATACTTACTTCACGATGTCCCAGATGCGTATAGAAGAGGAAGAGTAATTCCTTTATTCTATAAGATCGCCCACGCGATCATCCCCATCCTCCAATAAACTTTCGTATAAGATATAAATATACATACACACACTTTACCAATAACTTAATAAAATGAATGGAAGATAATAAAAATTGATGTAAATTTTGTAAGATTTTTCCATATTTTATAAAGGGGGAAATGTTTACTCAGCTAGTGTCGGGATGACAATTGAATAGTTTTGAAGCGTCATTGGTAGAAAATGTCGCCTTAGCACTCAGACAAATCATATATTTAGTTAATCTGGAATGAAATGAGTTTCTCTTCGCCATAACGCTTCAAAGGGTAGAAGGAACTAATGCTTCAGGCGTCGTCTGAACTTATAACGTTTTGGTAAGATACACCTGCCTTCTCTCACTCTATAATCGATAGATTCAATCGATACTTTAATCGATTTAAATCGTCATTCGTACACAATTCTATCGTTAGTATAATGATTTCTAGTATTATTCACAATTATCACTATGTAATTTCGGTAATTAAGAACACCCATACCCCCCCTTACACTACTAGTTATGATTTATAGTTTCATTCGTGCAAATTCTAATTCCCTTTTCCCCCCTTTTAAACTTTTCTAATCTCTTATAGAATAATTTACTCAATTATATATATATATATATATTTCAAAGCACGATATATAATAATCTGCTTACGAAGATGAAGAATATTTTATGAAAATTAAATTCCTTCTTCTTTAAAGGTATTAAAAACAAAGGAAATTATACGTTAAAATGATTAGAAATTATTTAAAAAAGTAATAAATAATTGGAGATTTGTAAGGGGTGATGAGCCGTGTTTAAAATCTAAAATAGTCCCTATTTCTTCCTTTTTTTTAAGGTTTTATAATGTTAAAACCTTAAAATAATTCTATATTTTATATAATTTCAATTTCGAATATTTTATTTAATATTTTTACTTCTAAAGATCCATTCTTTAACGAACACCCGTTGAGTTATTATTCGTCTAAGCTTATTTAAATAACGTATATTTAATATTTAATTTTGTATATATATATATATACATATATATTTAAATCTTTTAACCTTAAAACAGTTTTTTTTTATATATTTTATAAGTCGTTTATCCTAGAAACATCTTGAAGTAAAACCCAAGAGATAAATTGCCTGGCGATTTGCGGGGTGCTATTTTCATTTATCAAAAATAAGCTAATATTTCTACATAAAATAATCATATTTTTATGCGAAATATTCCAAAAAAAATAATAATTAATAATAATATTTTACGGAACCTTTCATCAGCTGGTGTATATATCTATATACAAATGCATACATGTAAGAGAGGAGGTTTTTGTCGTCGGTTGTCCTGCCGACGGTCATATTGTCACGTGTACTACAAGTACCCATTCTCTACCATAAATATTTTATTCGACGTCACGTGTACGATGTTGACCAATCAGCTATACTTGTCTAAACACACCTGCACGTCTATCCATTTTTTCTCTTAACGTTTGGCACGCTAGTATTGATTGGTTAGAGAGGAGGAGGATTGGTGGACAAATTTTAACTTATGGCTCGCGATAATAAGGTACGAATATCGATGGATGTATCATTTTCACGAATCTATCATCGAAATATAATGTAATTATAAGGTATATCTTTACTAGGAAACGTACCAACGTCTTGTCGTATGTTTTCAAGATCTATACGACACACTAAGAGATTGGGAACACTGATAAAAAATCATCGAATTTATATATATATATATTTAAAAGAATGTATAATCCTCTATCTACCGAAGAACTACGTACAAAAGATTTGGCACAACGGTACAATTGTAAAATACAATTTATTCTGATCTTCTATTGCAAATCTTGGATTCGCAAATGGTACACTCCACCGGTAATCGATAATATTTTATTTATCTTTTTTTTTTTATCTATTTTTCTTGTGAGATGCAATACAAGAATCTATATTTTTCATTCTTTTATTCACGAAAGTGTATTCTGTTTTTAAAATGTAAAACAAAATTCTAACTTCAACACTACTCATTATAATATAGAAGAAATGTCGCCATCTTTAAACAATCTTAAAGTAAGTTTAATTGGAAATCAATCGCTAAGCAATCATCTGCATTAAACCTTATCTTAGTTACAATCGATATTCTAATAAAAAAAATGAAAAAGGGGATTTTTTTAAAAGTAAATTTAACATTTTTTCTCCCCTTTATATAACTGGAATTCGAGATTAGAAAGTCGAGAAGTATCTTATAAATGTACTGTACAATGCAGTACGTAGTTTAGTACTGCCGTGAACATTCCTAATTGGTCAATGTAGATAAAAACCTTTTTAGCAATTGTTTGGGAGGACGTTACAACCACTTAAACACGCACACCCGCAGGCTTCATCCCAATACTAAATACAAGAATAGCATCAATGAGGATGCTGTGTGAATATTACAATCAATTCTAAATTAGAGAAGGTTTAAAAACAGTATTTTTCCTCAATTTTCTAGTGTTTAAATCCTCATTATTCTTCTTATATGAAGGTGGTATTGATAAATATATTCCTTTCCGGTCGGGAATCGTATACATCCCACTCAAAAGCCAGAGGTTCTCAGTTGTGTATTCCAGGATGGCGATGCAGCCCATTTGTTCCAATCAAGCGTAGACAGTAAAATCGCCCGTGCTTGAGCTGCTTCTAAATCCTCGTCCTTGCTCCACATCCAGGCAAGTATTTGTTACCGGTGATCCTTTGTTCGAGGTAGAATTATTGGTACAGTTGTAGACGTAGCCACATTTTCCCATAGAGGGTTGGCTATGACGTGGCTTGATGTATGCACACATTTGTCTTTCTCCTTACATAAGATGTTTTGTCAGTTATATTTCCCCCCTCTCTCTACATTAAATAACAAATACCAATAGAAAGGTTGTCAGAAGCTTTAAGGATGTAGAAAATTGATATAGAAGTTATTTTTCTTGGCTACGTCAACTATGCTTTATTTATGGATAGTTTGATAAGTAGTTTGATATATTTTCTAAGGAAACTTAAATATAAAATAGGCCTATAACGTGACGAATTTATATTATACTTCAATAAATATTAATAGATCTTTATAAGCTTATACTTTGCGCCGTTTACACCTTAAGTTTTTGCATGAATTCGATAGAATAAAATTTATAGATTAGATAAGATTTATATATACAAATCTTCACAGTTTTTTTTATTATTTTTATAAGGAAAATAAAAGCGGAAACACGAACAATACCAAATTTATAGTGTAAAGATAGCCTAGAAAATCATATAAAACAGAAAATATAAAATTTTCCATATGAAAAATTGAGTTTCGACCCAGTTATATTTAACAACTTAGTTTATAAATGATAAATTCCATATTCTATATCTGAAGTTGACAAATTATACATTAGACTTTTAAAAAATGAAAAGACATAAATCAATAATAAATATATATATATAATACAGTACAGTGGAGTAGTTTATCTATGGACGAATATTAAAGCAATTTACTGTTAAAGGTCAAACGTAAACTAGTAAAATTGGTGACTGTAAGCCAGGTTTATAAGGCAAGGTATTACACTATCGAGCTCTTTATAGAAGGTCATTTTTTAATGATTAATTATTAAATATACACGGGCATTATCAAACGTGCCCGCATTATAAACTAAGCTAAATTAGACCCGTGCATGAACAATTGAGAGTTAAGTATCTTTCGGATAAAATAGATTAATTTAACTACTAATTAGATCAATTAATAAAATTGTTTAAGATTTTTTTTAATGAGTAATGAGTAATTTTAATAAATTATTTAAAGTCTTTTTCGATAAGAATTTAGATTTTTGTTTAGTTAAAGGAAGGAAGGGAGGGATTTCGAGCGAGCGCGACATGTTCGAAGATGTATTGGATGAGGAATTTAGGTAGAAACGTCAAAACCCACCTGTAGTAGATACGTATCTTGACGATATCAAGAAGGGTTTGTTTCCATTCAGTGATTACAGATTCCACTAACAAACCGAGCGTGGAATGGGCAGCCGTCTGGCACCAGGGCACCGCTGCCATTAAACGAACCCCTCTCTACTAGTCTCGTAAATGGTAGCAGTACACTGGTTGGACCGAACACCTGGAACTTCCCATTGCCTGCTTGTCGATATTTGCCTTGGCAGACACGCGCTACGACTTGTCTTTCCGTTTTCTGGCTCTCCCCTCCATGCTACAAAACATCTAGTGATGCTGTAACACCGGACGGAAGAGGCGAGAGGTGGATGAAATTCGGTCACGTGCCGTGACGTCAACCCGGTTTGGCACAACCATATATCTTGCTTCAAGTAGACTTCGACGGAGGGTGATACATAGAATAGACTGTAATTGCAGTTAGGTTACGACAATAGGAAAACTATGACTGTTGATGAGCGGTTTGTATGACATGAAAGTATCATTTTTATACAAGGCTCCTCGTTAGTTTAGACCGATCTTAATAAGGATTTTTCATTTAGGATTAAATAATTTATATATTAAAACATAATAATAGCTTAAAAATATATAAATATTTGAATATTTTTAATTAATTTCAACAAACTGTGAAGGCCTGCAATGCGATTCTTCGTAGTTCCAGACTCGAAGACACGATGGTTAATTACCAGAAAGACAAACAATTATGATATAGTTGTAATGTTTACTTCTTGTTTTTATTGTGGAATCGATGGAACAGAAATTACTGTATGTTTTCGGTCAGTAAGTTGCTGTAGATAACCGCTCAGAAACCTGAAACTGTCCAATTATCTTCAATGCAGAGACCAATGGTTAAGATCGATGGTTAGATTTATAACATCTGTGACTCGGTCGGGTTGTAACTCTGTTCTATCTGCTAAACATTTACCCTTTCGTTCGAACGAGAGAAAGATTTCTTTCAGACTTAGCAACTTCCATTAATTCTTCCTTAATACCAACTTCTACAAACTTATAAATTATCTACAACCTCTTCCATATGGATCACAATCCCTCAACTCAAGAATATCCTTTAATATTTCTTTAAAATTATTATTTTATAATTATTAAATAACCATTTTAAATATATATATATATTTTTCAGTTAAGTAAATATAAAAAAACACAAGAAGAATAAAAAAATTCTCTTGGGTAAAAGAAAAACATTAACATAATCCATTAATGATAACATTTTTCTTTTCCTTCTTTAAAAATGATTTAAAAAAATAAATAAATAAAATTTTAAATGCTTAATTATTAAAGTAGATTTAATATTTTTATAGTAAAATGAGAAGTTTTACTAAAATAAAGATTAGAAAATCAGAAATTTGACTTTTATAAAGGCATTTTTTTTTAATTATAAAAGTTCTATAAGCTGTTTTATTTTATAATTTATCTTTTTATATTTAATCATTAATGAGTAAAAGTTGAATAACTTCCTTCTTCTTCTTCTTTATTTGTTAATGGGGAGGTATTTGATTACAGTATAAAGTTATTAGAGGTTGCGCAAAGGAATTTTATAAGAGTAGAACAATTCTAAACTTTCTTAGTTTAAGTGAAATTAAAATAATAGATAAGGATACTTATCCTGCTTTAATTATCTTTCTAGAAAAATAATTTACAAGATTTGTATCCTAAATTATATATTTAAATCATTATAGTTAAAGTTTCTGTTTCTACAAATAAACTTTAATTTTCTTCTTTTTAAATTATATTTTTGTATTTAAAAGATATTTCTTTTATAATTGTAAATTTTATAAAATTATTCTTTATTTTTTAAATATATTTTTTCCCCTTATTTTTCATTAAAGAAAGACCTAAGTAATGGATATAAACACTTAAAAAAGTTGAATTTTTTAAGCTTTATTTATTGTCTTTATTATTATAAATGATAAAAATCAAAATTGGAATATTTTATTTAAAAATTTATTCATTTTTTAATTGATTTAAACATTAAAATATATCTATTTTTTACTTTTTTTAGATTGTCTCTCCTCTCTCTCTCTCTCTTTGACATGCTTTAGTATGGAATATTGATGTTTTGTGTAAGAAAATTCATATAAAAATTAATATTTATTTTATAAGGGACTTTATTAGTTGTTTATGACATGAATTTTATTAAAAATTAATTAATTTTCTTATTAAAACTTCATATACTATGAAGTTTTAATAAGAAACAAAGATATTAGCTCATGTTATTGGCCTACAAATTACTGAATCACTTCAGTTTTCTAATTAATTTATAATTTCCTTCTTTTTATAATAATAATAATAATAATATTGTATACATTGATTAAATAAAGAACATTGTTATAATTGAGAAACTCATTGATCCATTCATTCATTTGTATGGCAAACAGGATATTGTTTATAGCAATTTGATGCCATAAAAGTATCAATAAAATTATCCTTTACAATAATCTATTATGTAATTATTTCTTAATTTATATTTATATTAAATAATACCAAAATTGAATGGCATCATACTTTGTTATAAATTTAAATCATTGTATAGCCTAGAATACTTTTAAATCTACCTTTAATATAGGCCAATATCATTAAAAATCTAATCAGGCCTAAAGAGAATTAAAGTTATTTTTAATATTTTAAATGAAAAATAATCTAGTATATATATATTTATTTATTTATTTATTAACTTTCTAGCATAGTTTCTTATATAAATATTTGTTTTCTAGATAAAGAGGATGAGAAAATTTTAAAGAAAATTTGAGTTTTTAACCCCTTTTACATCATAGGCCTAATAATTTTTGTTAATTTTCTTATTCATTAGAGTTTTGCAAGGATTTCTAATCCTAAAAATGAATAAAAATCTCAACTAAAGCCTTCATAATCTTTTAAGTGTCTTATGGAGTGGTCTATTCATTCCTCTCAATTATCCTCATAAATTTTAAATCCACATTTAAAAAAAAAAAGAGAAATTGTTATAAATTTCTTTGAAAGTTTAAATGAATTTTTTTTTTAATAAATATTTTATCAGCATGCAATTCATTGTAAGCGATATCTTTCACTTATGCAATGACTAGGTCAAGATTATTCAGCTCTTTCAGGAAGTGCGGAGGAAATGCATGACACATTATATACTTCCTTCTAACATCGCTTAATCATTATGGCGAGGAGGGCAAAGTGTCAAATGTTTTGAATAAAGCCAAGTAGGGTCATACTAAATGATATTCTAGCCAAAAAGATTATTTAAGGATTAGTTGATGGGTGGAAACAATTGATGTATCAATAAACAGTCATCTATCTGACATTAAATTAACTAATATTTATCTACTAACTTAATATTGTCATTTCTTTCAATTAAGTGCATTTCATCTAATGTTTTTCCTATAGAATAAAGTATTTTAAACGTTAAAATAGACAGGAATTCTTCATTTTTCTATAAGGAAAGTGATTCTTTCTCATTACTTTATGCAAGGATTTAAGAAAATATATATTGTTTTTCTACTTTTTTTCTTAATTTTTCAAGAGATTTTTGCTAATTTCTATTAAGTTTATAAGCTTAATAACATTTAAATATCATTAAATAGCAATTGACTATTCGAATTACACTAAAGCTTTTAGCAAAATTAAAATAATGAATGAAATGAGACGAATAAAGTTAAGTTATCGTTTTAAGTATATTGAAATATTTCCCGTGTTTTAAGTATATTTTCTTTACTCTAAAAATGGTGTAATTTTACATAAAACTTTTTAATTAATTAAATTATTTAACATATTTTTCATGCCGTAAAGAATTTCATCTCATCCGCATCCTCCTCTCATCTTCCTCATCTTTTAAGGCAATTTCATCATCTAAACAAAAACTTGAATATATGAATTTGAAAAGAATTTAATTTCGTTTATAACAATTATTTCTTAAATAATGTTGTTTATTATTTTTTTAATGAAGATGAAACATTTGTGAGTTGTATACTTTCAAGGACACAAAATGTCGTCCGCAGTGCGACATTGCAGAACAAACATCCACCATTTCGTTGGATTTTACATAAATTATCTAAGAATTTTTTAATTTTTTTAAACTTTAATCGCTTTAAATTAAATCTGTTCCTTCTTTACACGGTTTTAAAAGCTAAAAACTCCAGAAAAAAATGAAATTCTGGAGTCGAAAGGCATCCGGAGTAACGATTGTTCTGATCTTTTTTAATGTTAAATTATTATTTAATCCCGAATAGAAATAGTATAGAGAGTATTTAATAGGATATTTAACATTTAAAATTATTCAGATACATTAATATTTTCATAAAAGACCGCAAACATCTATAAACAAATCACTTCCAAAATTGCATTAAGTACGATATTAATATCAACTTTTAAAGACACTTTAACCTTATCTAAACACGAATAAATGGACCAAAATCGAGGACAACAATAACTTGAATTGTCAAGAACGGGGGGAAAAACTGTCAACGAATTTAATTTTTATCAAAAGAAGTCATAAACATGAATAATTTATAAGATTTTAAATATGCTAAATATGACATTAAACTACCAACCCTTTAACAATGCAAGAATCTATCAGATATAAGGGTTTTAAGGGGGAGGTAAAAAAATTGACCTATATTCTGTCAACCGTTGTCAATCGGCGTGGTTTGACACATTGGAAAACTTCATACTCACCTGGAGAATCCACAAGGCGGAAGGGCGCCGAAAAGTCGAGGTCAAAGGTCACAAAACAAGCATTCACACGGAGTCATAAAGCGAACGCCTCCCCCCGAATGGGGCAAGACCGAACGCGGGGTCCGATATCTCGGAACAGTATCCTATTAATTAATGTGAGAGAATAAGCCGAGACATCTCCCCTAGCCGCATCCTGCGATGCATAGACACAACCTCCTCTTCTTATTGGCTGCCTCTTTCGTCTTATCTTCTCCTCGTCGTTGCTTACTATTGGTTAATACCATCCAACTGAACGTGCCCAATATGGCCACTGACGTGACGTCACTGCAAGGTATACACCTCAACCGATCGCTAGTTATCTGTTGTTTTCAGTTGTCACCTTTCTCTACCTGACAGGTATCGACGTACTTCCGTCCCTCCCATTTCCGACTTCATAAACCATCGTCATCATCATACAAACAGTGAAGACGAACGGTTAGATTGACGTTGATGTTACTCTTGATAAATACATATCAAATAACTGTAAATTTACTCTTACCAAAACGATAATCTTACCAATTAATTTATGTCATTTCCACGCTCCATTTTTAATTTTAATTATATATTTTCTAATTAATTTAAACTTAAACATATTATACAATTATTTTCCTATCCAATTTTATATATTTCTCTCTATAAAAATTCAAAAAAAAAATACTATTTTTCGTCTCGTTCCTCAACCCTCCCCCTTTACGACGTTACATTGAGTGGATATTCGCGTGTATAAACGTAACAGCGTGTTGGTAAAAAACGTTTATAAATTAAATATACGATTACATTTGTTATTTCTAACTTTCTTGTTTACTCAATAACGAGTTAGAAGCTTAAAAACATTAAAAGAAAAATCCCCTCAGGTTGTATCTCCTTACACAAGAGGAAGAAGAAAGAGAGAGAAGAACATCCTCCATACCAAAGAGCTAATCATTAAAAAAAAAAAACGCATTTATTCTTTAATAATTATAAAAGTTATATTATATAACATTAAATTTATTTTATTTTACGATCGTTAAGTCGATGTAAGTTTGAATAAAGTTTGTCGTTATCCCGAGGGTGTAGAGAGGAAGCAAAGAGTGTATCTTGGTTAGGGTGATGGAGGGAGTTTGATGCTTTAACGAGAGATCACTTGGCTCATTTTGCTATGAACACGGCGTAGACTTAATTTAATTTCTTGAACAACGTTCGAGGAATGTTAATGACGAGCAGGAAATGTCCAAAAGACGTGCTCGTCAGCCTTTAACGTTTACGTTTTGTCAGGTGATTGTTATTTCAAAAAAAAGAAGAGGAAGAGAGAGAAGTGAGACTAAAGTA